TCATGGGTGATACAGAGTTTACCAAGTCCCGATCGCTTGCGGGGTTGCGCAAGCCTGGCACTGAATGCTGCCTTGCAGACTGCGTCCTCTTTCTCTTTCTCCTGAGTAGCAGCAGTGACTATGTCAATGCAATGGGCAAAGCCTTTGGTGACTCCGTTGAACATCATACCCGGACCAAACGATGGTTGGAGAAAATCCAGCTCGACAGGGTATTCTTCATCGTCGTACTTGTCAAAGACCCACCACCCGTGCTCACTGTAGGTTTTCACGCACTTGCCAATGCAAGCATTCTCGAGATCGGTCCCACGAAGGGTTTCCAGGATCTCCCTCTTGCCGAAGTAGCGGACTGGATCCAGCATCTGCGTGGCACACTCCATGATGGTGCTCTTCCAAAGCCCATTAGGAGTGGTGACGTTGAGGTGCTTTGGCGACTTTAGAATGGCAATTGTAGTTGCCGGAGCTGTGGCCGACTTTCCGAGGACAGGTCGACCGAGACAGTTAAAGTGATGGATGCATCCCAAGTACTGGAGTTCCTTTATTGTGAACATCGAGTAATCCCCCTGAGGGTTGAGGATCCATCTGGATTTGTCTTCCTTCTTGGCCTCCCCCCCATTTCTGGTCTGTTCAGACCTGCTCTCGGTATCGCTGTCCTCATCCTCGACTCCTTTCGATTCGTCGTGCATGAGCAGGACGAAATCTCGTCTTCTGGATTCATTTCGCTCAGGAGTCTGCCCTTCATATTCAGCGGCCTCTGGTAGAGGAAACCTCTTGAGGTCCCGGAAGGCTGTGAAGACAGCAGGGGTGTAGTCGCAACTGTTCGAAGATGTAGGAAAGTAGAAACCCTGGATATAATATCGAGTTTCTGGTTCTTCGTCTTCGGAACTCTCTTCTTCTCTGGGCTGACGATACAGCCCTTCAACATCAAAGTCGAGCTTTGAAGGCTGCTCAAGTTCATAAGTCGGCAGCATAGGAAGAGTGTGGTGAATGACGGATGTAGAGTTATTGATATGAGGAGGTTGTTGGTTGACGGATAACAATTCTGTTTCAACCCCGTCCATCCTGGAGTTAATTGCAGGAATATTGCTGTCTGGCGAACTTTGAAGAAATTCAGTAGCGTGGACTTTCAGGCTTGCGTGAGGTCGATGTTCGCATGCACCAGGCACAAAGTGACTTGCGTCGATGTTGAAAATCAGGGGGGAATGCCGTTGTTGAAAGCTGTACGTCTGTAGCAAATATTGTTCGCGATTCTGAGTCTGGAAGAAAGAGGTTTGAGGATGGGAGGAGCTCATATTCATATAGCCCAAGGGCAACGAAAAGGCTGAGGCATTATCAAGACCTTGTACTGGTTCCTGCTCGCTTTTTCTGTGGTCTGAAGTCTCATTGGTCACCATTGCACCTGGGGGTGGAGCGGTGGAGAAGAGAGAGATGGATGGGATTTCAGTTCTTTCAAGGTTTGTCTTCTTTAAGTTTTAGTATTGTAAAGACTTGTGACTGTGAGTAAGGATATTCCAAAAGCAAGTGTTCGAGACTGAGAAGGGTAGGAGAGAAGGTGCTATGGCCGAAGGTTGGGGATATTTTAGAGACGCGAGACACGATGTACTGCCCAAGTCTCCATGTTCAGGAAGTCATCGCATTCACCCTTAAACAGTTGCAGAACCCACGTTGCCAGGGCGCACGTGAAAGGTGAAGGGATTCTCGAGACGCGTCGAGTGATGAATCAAGAGCGGTTGGTAACAGTGCCGCTTCCTCAAGGAATTTTGATATGGCGCCAGCTGTTCCCCGCTACGAATTGGTATTGTGAGATAGTGGGCATCCTGGAAATCAATGTGGACGGTCGCCTTGCGAAGATATATCCAGTTCCCGTCCATCCCCTAGGGCTGGCCGTTCTCATTCCAAGGGATATTTTGGCAAACTGTTGATTTTAAGGTCACTGCGACCCTAATTGTGACAATCTGCCGATGCCTTTTGAGCGCGCATCAACAGCTCCCTGGTTTGGTCGCATGGGAGAAGGCATGAGAGCCACCCTCTGCCAAACCATCTTGAATGTCCGGGCATTCTTGACCAAGACCAAGTCAGTACATTCATGTATATATAAGTAGTTGTGCTGGTTCACGGGACCTCTGAAACGAACAGAGTCATGCCCTTGTTGAGAAGAGATGAGCGAAAGACGATCAAACTGTTTGAGGTTCCCCGCACAAACATAGGATATCGGTTTGTATCCAATGGCCATTGTCCACCTTAAAGCCTCCCGATCGATAGGTGTATATTATTTAGCATGTCATCCGCGAGCACTCGCGTTAGCGGATCTCGCCACCTGTGGTCTCTTGGAGAGCTGGAGGTTCGCTGCCGTTCAATGATACCGAGGACCGATAGCTACGGTGAGTGTGGCGATGAGAGCCATCTGCGGATTTCCACTCAGAGGGCAAGACATTTGACGGAACCTCTTGTTAAGTGGTGCCTCAAGCGACAACGGGTTGGGAGCAATGTCAGACGAAGGAGGAAAAGCTTGAAGAATGAAGAATGTGGTTCAAAGAAGAATTGGGTCTGGTCGGGATCGTGGCGAAGTAGTCCGTGCGCGAGACGAGGCTAGCGGGCTCAGACAAGGCTCGCCAATCAACGCGAGAAGAAAGGAAAGCAGCCCTCCTTGTCTGGGAATCTCTCACCAAAGACCTGAAGACCAAATGATTCATGCATCTATCCCTCCTCTGGCAATTCGTATATTCCCACATAAAACTCTGAAAACTAGTTCCTCCTAGGTAGTCTGATGTCCTTCCTAGTGCATATTAGCATCCTCTCCTCTCTCCTTGTACCATCCAACCCCGTTTAGGTCGAAGCAGATGCAACTCCTGAAAGAGTGCCTTCCCCAAAAGTGCTTCTGTCACCCCGAGATTGTGCATCCCTTTCATGTTGTCTCACAAGAGACTGCCATGATGTAGTAATACTCCGAAAAGCAGGTTCCCAAATGAGTGTTTCCTGGATCGTCGATTCTCAACGACCATTCACCAGTGCAATCAGGCTGTATCCACATTGTACATGCTCCTGCGCATTTCCACTCCATTAGCTTCGAGTCACGCCAATTCGTTGAATCAAGGTAAGGAGTTGGCTCGCAAAAGGAGTTGCTACGGAAGGACAGCAATGACTCGCAAAGACTCACCGAACCAGTTTGAACATTCGTTTGCCCAGACGTTCTTCATCCCAACCGTGAGAGGCATGCACACAGTGTTTTCTGGATAGGCAAGCTCTTGATAACCCACATCCTCACCACAAATCTGCCAATAGTCATCAACCTCTGGACATAAGAGCAGGTTGTGGATAGCCAAAGACCCTTCAAACACGGCAGAATCTCTCAAGGATAGGTAGAAACATACGGTCGGACTGAATTCCCAAACACAGCTGTTTGAGCGGACATCGCTCACATTGGCAAGATTGAACGGCATGGCTGTCGCGTGCAGAGCTGGCAATGTAAGAATGAGAGCAAAGAAACCGGTGCAAGGTTTGATAGCGAGTCCAAGCGTCACGGTGAGGAGCATGCTCAGCACAGCCCTTTCCTCTGTACCTGGACTCTGGAGCAAAGGTTTTGTTGTTCAAGTAAACACTCGTGAGGTTGGACGGACTCGAGAGATTTGAAATGTCATACGTTACAAAGAGGAGCCATATTCTTCTCCTCGCCCCTCGCAATGCCACCTTACCAGCTCGATCTCTGTGATCTCGTCCTGGTATTGTGGCCAGGAATTCATGAGGCGAGGGGACTCTCTTCGTGCCCAGCCCGTTCAGGGACTCAATCTCCTTGCGTATAGCGCATAGAACAAGGGACCTGGGACCAGGGAAGCGTCAAGTACAAGAAAAGCAGACCGCCGGGATATAGTCTATCACGATTGCCTTTGTCTTATGTACCAGAAGTGAGCGCTGATGGACGGGTTCATTGTGCCAGACGGAGTTCCAACTCTGGCGATTGGGAATGTTTCAAAAGTGACGTCGAGATTCCCGCTCAACTTTGAGCCGAGCTCATCAACCATGCAAAACGTGTCAATCTTGGAAACAACCTGGCAGCCGGACCTGCATACGCGAAACTTGGTCCTTCGGCTTTCGTTCATTCTGCTGCTCGGCCTTTTTGAGCCCAGCCTGGTTCCAATTGAAAATGACATCCTCGGGCTGTGCGAGTGTATGTGTACGACGAAACCCCACGGCAACTTGCGTGCGCGTGCATTTCATTCTCGAGTCCTCTCGGCCGTTTTGCGGCTGTCATCGATATCCGTGAGGCATTGCCCGTCGAGTCTCAATCATCTTTAAACTCCCTGCCCACATAAATCTCTGCAGCAATGGACATTAGGCCTATTTTCAAAGCACAGTCGGGGCAAACTACGAGCAGAATGGACACGTGGCGTGGATACGAGGATAGCTTTCCTAATCCGCCTGCTCTCACACATTCTACAAACATCCCTGACCTCTGACGCACGGGACGGATTCGAAGGGTTTTAAATGCCTTAAATGCAGGTAACCGGCAATCCCGCACGTCAACTCTGGCGCGGCAGCCCATGGTATATCCATTCGTGCAGAGCGGCCGTCTTGCATACATTTGACATGCTCCACAACACCTGGAGACGAACTCTATATCTCTCGCTGGCCGACAACGTAGAATGAAAGAAATGAAAGCAAGTCCTCAAGGAGCTGTGTAGTTGAAACGCTGACTTTGTAGGGACGCCTCTGCCAGTGGACCTGTTCTTCGTGTGAGCTCTGGCCTGCTTTTCATCCTTGTCTTGATATATCGGTGCCCTGCTTCTGATTGCTGCTTGGTCATATCCCTTCCCCATCTGATCTCTACCCAGTTTCCGCGACGGCTCAGCCGTGTCCCTGCCGAAGGTGCCTAGAAGACCGTCCTACTCGATACAAACATAGCATTTATATCAGCAGCGCGAGACTTTGATCGAACTCGATCTGCTTCCACTTCCATTGTTCAAAAGAGTAAGCCGGATCGCCAGAAACATTCCCGCAGTAGCAGTATGTCGACAGATCCGTACCCGGACCGCCCCCTTACCACCGTTGGTTTAGGGGGACGGGGAGCTCACTTGGTCGTTCCCTCGATGATTGCACCCATTTTAGCCTTCGTTCTTGTAGCGAACCGGATCTATTGGCGTATGAGGATGCTGGGCAAACTCGGCCTCGACGATGCATCAACCATTCTGGCTTTGGTGAGTTGATATTTTCAAGTATATTCAGCTCGGTCTCACCGTCTTGCAGATATTCCTTGTGATCCAATGTGGTGCTTCGATTGCCGCAGTGAACTATGGATATGGCCGGCCCTTCGAGCTCCTCAGTAGAAGCCAAGCCGCGCAAGCCCTGACGGTAAGACCCGACTTCATAGAACCAGGCCGACACCGCTGACCTTGCTGTGCCAGTGTTTCTTTCTCCTCCAAATATTCTACAAGCTCACCGTCAACTGCACCAAGCTGTCGATGCTCTTCCTATATCTCCGCATTTTCACCGATCGCCCTTGGTTTGTCCGAACTTGTTGGAGCTTGATCACCTTTGTGCTTTGTGCTTGCATTAGTTTCACTCTCGCAACAATTCTTCAGTGCAGTCCGATTCCACGAGCATGGGAGCGCTGGAGGATCGACGGTAGCTGTGTCGACATCTATGCCTTGTGGTATAGCAACGCCGTGTACAACATTTTGACAGATTTCCTCCTTGTTTTAATGGTGCCGCCCGTGATATTCAAACTCAAGTTGCCGATGCGGCAGAAATTGGCTCTGACCTGTATATTCGGGTTGGGCGTGATTGTCTGCGTGGCATCGATTTCAAGGTTGACAACGTTGTACTCTTCGGCCTATGGCGACGATATCACGGCTGGTTCTCTTGTATCAACAATTTGGACGACGATCGAGGCCGGCCTTGGTGTTACTTGTGCCAATCTTCCCATGGTGCGGACACCTCTTCAGCATTTCTTCCCGAGACTCTTCGCTCCAAGGACCAGTACAAATCACATCTCCAGCACGGGTCCATCTCAACGAAGCGGCCCGGTCAATAGCGAAACACTTGCTTTTCCTGCAAGATTGATGCCACCACCCATCCCTGCTCGCAAGGCAAGCCTTCCAACGCAGACACCTGTCATCGGTATTCCAACTACACGAGCGATGTTTAGTCAGAGGAATCTGCGCCAGGAAATCAACAATCTGCACCACACCAGTCACCCCGCACATTACCGGGACCTCGAGGCCCAGAGACGTTGCCATGACTGCTTACCCAGTCGATATATTGGGATGGAGACAGGGGAAGAAGTGGACTGGTATGAAGGTCGGCACAAAGTTTGGTCACCATAGAGATGGCTGGGCGTTATTCATTCATGGACGGAAGGGTCATCACAAGACGAGGGTGTATTTTGATGGCTAATGTCATGCAAATACTCTAGAGCAATAGCTGAGGAATCTGTGGTGTGGTAGATTGTTTGTGGTCATGCAGAGGTACCTTGGTAGTGGCGAGAGGAATAAAGACCAACCGTTGTCACGCCCCCTTGAAAACGGCCAAGAACGGCAAACGAGCAAATCGTGAAGTTTGTTCGGCTAAGTTGCCAAAGAGGAAGTCTTGGCTGCGCCTCGATTGGCAATGATCCTGACGAAGGAGCTCCTAGTCTTAGGATCAGTTCATTCAACAGCTTCAGCACCCTTTTACCACACTACCGGAGGCTTTTGAGACGCATGTAAGCTGTCGAGAAATATCTGGCGCTTAGAGTACTGACTGAAAACCTGAACAGCTCGAAATGTCGTTCGTCATCCGCCGAGCCGTGTCAACCCTGGTTCCTCCGAAGGTAAACCTCGACTTTGATCCTGTCTGTACTGCTTCCACTGACATGGATTGAATAGGTTGCCAACCCAGAGGTAAGCCCGCAGTCGACCACTGAACACCTACCGAATTTCCTTCGCATGAAGCGATTGGGTAGCACAGCTTATCCCCCGTTACCTAAAACACTTGAGACCACTCGCGAAGAGACCACAGTGGATGAACAGGGCCTGACAAGCGAGTACAGGGTATCGGAGCTGCCAAAAATGCCGTACGGATGGCGAGAATAGCCAAATTCTACGAAAAGCTACCGAAAGGATCTGCACCGCAACGAGCACCGAGCGGACCGCTAGGCTGGTATCAAGCAAAATATTTTGGAAAGAATCCGTCAGCAGCTCGTACGTGCCTATCGCGTGGTATAATACTTGGAAAGAGATCGGTGAATCGCTAATCCTGTGGTAACAGCTATCTGGCACGTCATTTTCGGAATCATGGCAATGGGTTACAGCATGGAGTACTATTTCCATCTGAGTATGTGCTAAAGCGCAGAGCATTGGAGGTGCTGCTGACTGACTGGCCCGCGTAGGACACCACAAAAACAACGCCCACTGATCAAATCGCACCGAAAGGGGGAGGTTCTAGGTCATTGACATTGTACATAACGTCGAAATAAACCAGTTGAACTTGCGGAAGGGCGCATTATCAAGAATTCCTTGCTTCCCAGGCACTCTACAGATCGCCTCTCCTTCGCGTCCCTTTTGCACAAGTAGCTCCGTGTTCTCCACCGTCTTTGGAGTTCAAAGCTATGGTGGGCTCCGTTCGCGTAGGTCCCGCAATTGGTGAAGCGCAGGGAAGTGCGAATGTCATCTCCTGATTGCGCCTCTCAAAGAATGCAATGCCCCGTTCGTTGCCACTGCACGCTTGGCGATGTAAGTGTGCAATAGTACAAATGACTGAGTGGTGCGAGTGTGAACTTGGTAGAGCAGCAAACTTCTATGCATTGTACTGCTAGTCGGCCCCCTCTGCCCCTTAATGTTCACCTGCCGACGGAAACAACTCCGTTTGAGCACCGAGACGGCTGACCTGCTCAAAATCCATCCTTTACTTGGTTTCAGACCCCGAAGTATGTCACCAACGATATCAGAACCGAACGGGAAGTCATATTCGAAGCGCGGCTCTCCAGCACCCTGTATATTCGTTAAAACAGCCTGCCGAAAGTGCCATCGTAGAAGCTAATTAATAGGTGCATCAGGGCGACTAAATAACTCCCAATTAAGATGCTTACCTATAAAATTTTTCGTTGAAGGCTGAGAGGCGATAATCATATAGTTGTCATCCGGATTGATCGAGACATCATATGAGTAAAATAGTTGATGTACATCGGAGCGGAGCAATAATCCATTCGGTCCTGAGTTGATAGATCCCCCTTTTGCTGGCCGAATTGTAATTCATCGGGCGTAGGTCTAACTGATTAAATGACCTTCGCGAGCGAGTGGGAAAATATGCGCAGCATCAAAGCCAACCTAATTATCAGCTCCAGTGAACGTATGTATAGAGTCCCCGGATATGATACATTGACGATCTCGTGAACGAACGACCTCGGCAAAGATGGCAACACGACTTCCGGTAGCTTGAATAATCATTCGAGTGATGGGTTACTCGTCATTAAACTGGGCAGGAAGAGTAGCAACAATATAACAGTTTCCGGGTTGAAGTGGATGGCTGTCTCTCCCTATCTTTGTTTCATTCTCGTCTTGTAGAGAGAAATCGCTCTCAAATATAATAATGATCTCTATCATTGTATAGAAGTTAGCATTCGTGACTCCGGGAAGGAGAAGTAGGCCTCCAATTGGGGTGGTAGGATCTTTCAAGTCGTAGATGTGTACGTTTCGCCCAGCTGATCGATAGCGTGCAGGCATGGCTCCTTGTTGTAGAGAGGTTTCGGATAGAGGGGAGGTGGGCGTTTTCGGGGACGAGTGTGAGGATGTCATAATGGAAGCCTAGGACGTAAAGGCTGCATCGGGATAGCAAATGGCGGGTGCAGGCTTGCAAATAGCAAGAGGTTGCAAGAGGTTCAAAGGTGATGGGAAGGACCGTATTGACGGCGAGGTGAGCGTGGAGTGCCAAGGCGAGGTTGCTGCGCCCCGACAGACGGGCCGTCGACTTCAAATGCGCAGCCTCTCCTATCTCAACTGACTCAACAACCACCGTTTCTTCTTCTCCTACACCCTTGTACCCCTCTTTTGAGGTGTTGTATTAGTTTCTTTACCCCTTCTACTTGATTCCCGTACCTGAGACCCTCCCGCGACCTCAAAGCGCCATCGTGCTTTATCGGGCAAAACCGACAGGCTGGCTACCGTGGCAGACTACGCGCAGTAACAGGTACTCGCACGCCACCGAAATCAAAACCAACCAGTCAACCTGACCATTATTTGCCCTTCTCTAGATCCGAGTTTGTTATGGCAGAGCAGAGAGCACAAGATGTGGTAAACCAATCTCAGTCGGTGGGCGATCTCTCGCCTTCCGACGCACCTGCGACCACATCCACACCTGATATCAAAGTGTCTGGGGACGATATTGGCAAGGATAGCAATGAGGTGGAAGCAGAGATTGCGCCAAAAGAGAATGGAATCCATACAGTGTCAAGTCTCAAAATGGAAGAACTCGAGGATGGCTCTGCCCGCTCAGACACAGATACCAGCCGCGCCGAAGGGAGTGTAGCCGGTGACAAAGTCACAGAGCCCAAACCTTTGAAGAAATTCGCTGCCAAACCTGTCAGCTTTGCAAAGTATTCGGTTCCCAAGGTCATTGCCGCGAACGCCGCGGCGAAAACTAATGAGAAAAGTACGTGCGCCGTTGCTGTTCACCCGTTGTAACTAATGTCAAATCCAGCCCCTACACCCCATTCCTCAACCTCGTCCCTTGCCCAGGCAGGCCGTCCACGATTAGTCGCCAAAACCACCAGCTCGCTACAGTCCAAGGCGAAGCCCTATCAAAGCGCAAGCCCGGACCCCATGCAGGTGTGGAACAAAAACAGAGGTATGGCCTTATCCGCCAGCTTTCCGATCAGCCGATGTTGATCATGCCATAGTTACTCCGCAACCTTCGACGAAACATTTGACCGACGAAGAGCTTAAGCAGCAATACGGAATCCATTTGACCTCGCGAATTCAAGCAGACAGTGAAGGAAAGGAGGCGAAGTGGGCAGACATTGATGACGACGAAGACGATTGGGCTCCAGAAACAATCGAGTGGAATGACGGCACCAAGAGCACACTGACTCATGCCGATGTCACCCCTCAAACCTCAGAGAAACCAGCGACTCCGTCTGAATCCGGAGATAAGTCAAAGCCAGCCGCTTCCTCGAAGCCCTCCGCACCTCAATTCGCAAGTTCTGTCGGTCCTAATGCGACCGTTCTCAAACTGGGCGCAAGTGCCGAGAGGCAACAGGCGCAGAAGGCTGCGACTCTTCAAGCTAAGAGCCCCGCTGAAAAGCCGTCAATCATTACAAAGGCGACCCCGGCGCCTGCCCCTGCGAAATCCCCATGGGCTCCGTTGCCCCCCGTTGACAAGATTTCGCCAGTTGCAATCAATCCTCAGCCAATGCCGCCATCAAGCCGATTTCCTCCTAGCCACACATACACGCAAAGCCCATCATTACTGAAGGCGCCATCGCCGGCGAAAGAGATTTCCGCGGATGACTTCAACCGCTCATGGAGGGATTCGTTACCAGGTCAACAACGAGAGTTGTACGTACCGGGCTCTGGCCGCTATGAAGCCGTGTCTGAACCCCGACGGCGAATGTCAAGGAATGATCAAGGTTTTCGAGCGCCTGCTGTGTTGCAGAGGCCAAGCCAAACTGATGTGCACGCTCCCGCAGAACCTTCACCGGCTTTCCAGACCAATCGAACAAGCACCGACCAAGCACGACGTAGGGCGTCGTCTACTATTTCTGGAGGCAGCGGGCAGTTTGGTCGACGGATGTCCATAAAGTCGGGCGAATTGCCTACACCAAGTGTTGACACCCAGAGACATGATGCCGAATCAGCAATTCGACCAACTTCAAGAGATGGGCCTCTTTCTGCAACTCAGACACCGACGTATCAGGTTCGTGGAATGGGCGACTACATGTCTGTCGGCGCGACCTCCGCAACAGATGCGGATATTGAAGCTCAACGAGCTCAACAGAGAGCTTTGATGAAAGAGAACATTGAACGGGCCAGAAAGCGCAAGATAGAAGAAGAGCAACGGCTGGAGGCGGAAAAACAAGAGCGTATTCGTTTGAAGCTGGCGTCACTTGGGCCCGACCCTAAGCTCGCTAAAAAGTCCGAGGAAACGGCGAAAGAAAAAGGAGCCCCTGAAAATGAAGTGAAGAAGGATAGTGAGCCGTCATCGCAGGTCACTGCCCCATCTGTGAGCACCACCGCGACTACCACTCACTCTCCACCCAAACCACCTCAGCCGCTGGCTTCTGGCGAACCGCAACAGTACGGCATGATGAAAGTGCATCCCTTGGACTCGGTCAAAAAGATGGCAACTTCGCTACCTCGACCACCAGAGTCACAGAGATTAGCCGCTCGAGAAAAAGTCGAAACTAGCCCAGCCGATCACCCCAAACAGGAGACCTTACAGGTTCCTTCTCCCACCGTTAATGGCGTCAGGACCGTACCAGATATGCGACGAACAAGTGGTCATGAGCCAACTGCCGTTTCTGAGCCGAGCCCCAAGTTACCGAAGCCAAGCGCAGTCGTAAGCGATGCAAGAAGCGGATGGGGAGATGTGCGCCATGATCATCGTCCACCCCAGACGGCCAACCTCTGGGGTCTGCCTAACAACAAGGCTCTCGGAAATGGTACATTCGACCAAAGTCTTGCAGGATATTCGCCACAAGATCTGTCTAGGACATCTTCCACCGCAGCGGGCTGGATGAATGGTCGAACGCCTCACTCCGGCCGCTCGCCGCAGATTCAACATGTCAACCACATTCTCGCGGATAACAGATCGTACTCGTACCAATCAGTGAACTCCCCAGATCAGGGGCCGCTGGCAGCCGATAGCGAGGCCGACTCACTGTTTCCCACGACGAAACCTGCTCCTATCGCTCCACCTCAGCCTCAACAAGTCCATCCTGGCATGAACGGCCTGCCCAACGGGCAGAGGCCAAACGGTGTGGACGCCTGGAATAACTTCCATGCGGTTGCGAGTCAGCAAGAACGTGCAGAAAGTGAGAAAATACAGCGGGAGATGATGACCAGGCGGGAGGAAGAAATGCGGACCGGTGTTCGGCAAGGCCCTGCCTACACCTTCAATGAGACCTGGAGACAGGTCCAGGTCGGCGATCAAGCACAGAGATCACTTTCGGGCGTCTCACAGTCGTCCGTGCCAGCGTCCAGCGTATTCGGCGCCGTAGGATCATTGCCTACCACGGATGTCGGCACACGTGTGATTAATGGACCTCCTGGTCGTGGATCGAGGTTCTTCCCTCAACCCATCGGACCGCAACATCCTCTTCATGATCGCCGTGCAGTTACCTACAGCCATCCTGAGCCGCCGAGAACACCATCCCCACCTCCCGCCGAGGAATATGCGAGCTTTCACCCTGCCTTCGACGGAGACTTCACCAGACCAGTAGTGCACTTTCCGCAAAAGCCTGTTGTCAAATTACCTCCAGCTATGCCACTCACACCCCCAAGCCCTGTGCACATTCAGCCCGAACCTTCTTCAACCACGCCACTGACATGGGCAGCAAGAGTCTCAATGCCACCACCACCTCCTCCGCCAGCACCACTCCGAGCAGTCTCCACTCCGATTGTGCAGAATCCTTCGTGGCAAGAACGATTCAACGGCTTATTGGGCAAGAAGAATTCCCCTGCTCGGGATTCTGCTCAGCCTGTTGGAATAGTTCTTGCAGTTGCGTCGTCGACTAGAGAGCCTCTTGACGTTCAACACATGCAAGTTCCTGCTGCCTCGGTATCGCTTCCTGTTGAAGTGAGGCCTACACCATTGTCCAACGATACATCGGTCACGACAAAGGATGTCGAGAGCGAGGATGACCTGTTTGAGGACAGAGAGCTAGGTTCATTACCGACCATCAAATTTCCATTGGAGACGCCCATGTTGCCAAAGTCGCCATTCTTTGCTTCAAGGGCACTGGCTCCATCTCCTGAGGTTACGTCGGTGTCTCCCTTCATGGTCACCAACTGGGTCGAGCGGCACCGTTCCAACGGGCCTCAATTCGCGCTCATAAAGTTCCCTGGTTCGTCGAAAGCCGTCAAGAAAGAGTTGCCCGTGCGAGGACCATCGGCGCCGTATCATGGCGGTAGGCAACGCTTTGGGAGCGGCCCGCCCAGCTCGTCAGGTTCTTTTGGCGGCAAAAGTTATCGAAACAGAGGCGGACCCCGGTCGAGACAAGCATCGAAGGCACATTGATTGAACATTTTCTGTTGCGGCAACTTTTGCAAGGCGAGAACTCAGTTCATGGCACAAAGGACGACCCCCCTTGAAAAGAGGACTCGACATCGCCTCCTTTTCTTCTTTTTCCCGACGCTGGTAGTGCACCGGACGCTGGAAATTCCGAAATAAGGGCTTGAAATCTGATTAGTACTGTATTTGTTCGGGAGTTTCATTCCACAATGACTTGCAGATGCAAGTTTGAACGCACAATATGGCCGTGGGGGCACGATTGAGAACTTTGCCAGCCATTCCCTTCTGATGCTGTCCTCACATGCTCATTTGAGCGTTTCGGAAACAAGAGGTTGGAAGCTTCTTGCGACAGAGGAAACAACTCGTAACTTGCGGGGGTTTGCAAATGGGCCTGGGCTTGGGACATGGAAATCCTGCTCCTGCTCCTGGTCCACAGTGAGAGCTCAGTGTAGATAAGGATTAGTACCCGCTTTCGAGTATGTCCAGATACTTTTTGGCACGGAGCTTGGAATGTGGGTAGATGGGTGTTTACATGGGTGGGTGGTGGGTTGTCGTGGAGACACACAAACACACTCTTGATGTGAGGTTCCTCGAGCCTAAATTAAATATAAAGCACAAATGTTTCTCTCAAAAGGTCAAATTCGAGTTCGAGTTCGAGTTCGAGTTCGAGTTCGAGTTCGAGTTCGAGTTCGAGTTCAAGTTCAAGTTCGAGTTCAAGTTCAAGTTCGAGTTCAAGTTCAAGTTCGAGTTCAAGTTCAAGTTCGAGTTCAAGTTCAAGTTCGAGTTCAAGTTCAAGTTCGAGTTCAAGTTCAAGTTCGAGTTCAAGTTCAAGTTCGAGTTCAAGTTCAAGTTCGAGTTCAAGTTCAAGTTCGAGTTCAAGTTCAAGTTCAAGTCCATTTGTAAGGACTACGGAAACACGAACTAAGCGATTCAACCCTGTAGACTGTGTGATTTTTTCAACCGCTGGGCAAAACAGATGATAAAAAGGAAATCATTCTTCCTCTAGGTTTCACATGGCAGAGCTTCGATGTGTTGCGAGGGGAGACATAAATACACAATGTAACTAGATTTCAACGTTGTTCCATTGCCGTTATAACTAGCTAGTCTCGGAACCTATCCGTCGCACAAATGTCCTGGCTTCCATTACAATCGCCGCACACTAGGAATTTCATCTAGAAAGGAGGTAAGAGACTCGCCCACCCCTTGCCTGGCCAAATCGTGACTCTCCATCTCGGACAAAACAAAGTGAACGGGGCAGGCGTTGCGTGGAAAACTGTGTTCGAAATACGCTGAAGGAATATGAGCTTGCAGTGGTGCTGCCGTGTTCTGGGAAAGGTGTCGATCTCAATCATACATTTGATATCGTCGTCGCTACGTGTATCGTCTCCGCCAGCGGCGGATACAGCCCGTGCAGTGTCGAGACATAGACTTGTTGATTCCGCCTGTGCTCCATTCATGGTTTGGGCGATAGAAGCTGGACAAACTCCTCATCTGCGCCACGGGATCAGGGATTAGCGCACATGGCACATTCAATGTTTTCAAAAGCCCAGTCATTTCAAACAATGCAACCTGGCAGCTCGAGCCAATTGGGCAACAAGCCGTTTCCATTTCGGCGCCGCCAGCCTCCACATCCTGTTTCACTCTTTGATCCAGGAAGCTAGAAAGAAAATTTGGAAACTTCAAGGAGAGACAGCTAGGGGAAGGTGAGGGAGTATTGGGGGACACGTACAATCTATTGTTCCGTTATTATCCTTGTCCGCCTCACGAATCATCTCGTCGATCTCGGCGTCCGTCAAGTTTTCCCCAAGGGATTTCATCACCTGACGTAGTTCATCGGCGGAGATGGTGCCAGAACCGTCCTTGTCAAAGACGTTGAATGCGGCGCGGGTCTCGTGGGCGAAGTCTTGCGCCTTGACGGTCGTGGACATCATTTTGAGAAATTCTACGGACATTGTCAGATTGGTTGCATTGAAAGTTGGAAGAATGGGAAGCAGAAGGAAGGTGGTGATTGAAGGGAGGGCTTGCCTTCAAAATCTATGCTGCCGGAGCGATCGACGTCGACCTCGTTGATCTGCAGTGCGACGGATTAATGGGTTGACCAAAGTCCATACCGACCTTTGCAACCAGAGACATGGGCGATCTTACCATATCCTGCAACTCCGAGTCGGAGGGGTTCTGGCCAAGTGACTTCATGATCTCACCGAGTTCATGCGCCGTGATCGTGCCTATTCCACAGTAATGTCAGACCTTGTGATTCCCAACCATCAAATATGGTCACCAGTTTGTGCACAGACAATCGGCTCTGGGCCCTAGGACGGATATACCCCGCCACAAGGCTGAAATTCCTCCACAGGAAGAATGTAAAAGATTGGGCTAGATGAGTCTTACCACTTCCATCTTTGTCCTACAAGAAGTATAAGTTTGGATGCCTTTGTTCGAATCAGGAGGTGATTACGTACGAACAGAGCAAAGACGTCCTTGTATGCCTTGACCTCTTCGTCGGACATGTGTTTGTGGGTGACGGGAGTCTGTCAGGCGTGCCAAGGTTAGCTCTGACGTGTTCTTCGAAATTGAGGCAGCCTGAAGAGGAGGAGGCTCGGCCCAGAGATACGGCAACACAGCCTGGGAATAACATACCATGGTAGTCTTGGGTTTGGCCGTGTATGGGGGAGGATTGGTATCGATCTTCTCGAGTGTGGGTGGCATATGGAAGAAGAGTCGATGGAAGAGACGGGGCTGAGATATAGGGTGATAAGACGCTAATTGCCTAGAAGGAGGACAGCCCAGGCTCAGCGATAGGGGGACGTCGCAGAAACAAGGGGCACACGAGACAGCCTCGGGGTGAGCCGCAGGCCGGATGCAGGTGCCTGATTTGCGTGGACAAAAGGCCAGCTGGGCCGGGATCTGGATGGATTGGAAGGATTGGAACAGGGCTGCGCCACGAATGAACAGCTGGTCGAGGCCCAAACACGGCTGCCAGATGTTTGGGCAGTATGGTGAGACGGCGAGACAGTTGAGGGATAGGCTGCAGTGAGTCGTGTCCGAGCGTTTGGGATATCGGGCTGCAATACCAAGCTGAAACACGAGGATTGATTTGATGCCCTACCACTGGTGCTGTTGAGGTTGGCGAGTTCCAAGTTGGGTACGTGATCTTGAGACTTGGATGGTGGGGAAGAGAAAGAAGGATGGATTCAAGGTGGAGGTGGATGTAACGCGAATTGAAGGGGCCGAAAGTCCCCTCGTCATCATCAACCACGTGATCACAGCCTTGGCAGCTCACGTGCATCGCTACCCAGCGAACCCAGCGAGCACGTACTCGGTACTTGCCAGCACAAGGCTCGAAGGCTCGAGCGCATCAGAATCAAATGACGAATTCCTCGGTCCGTTCCGTCATTCACCTCCATCAATGCCCAAGGCCAAAGGCATACTCCTCCGATGTTACTGCCTTCCTGTACTTGGTAGGTACTCACCACTCGCTCACCCTTCACCATATCGCAAGCCTTCAAAGGCCGTTCTTTTTCTCTCCCTCGACTTGGCTCCTTCGCAATGCTTCATCAAGCAGCCCCTCCTAAGCCTCCTAATGGCAAGCTGATATGTAAGTCCCACCCCCACTTCTACCCAACCCAACAAAATAGACGAGGGAGAAGAGAAAAGGTGTGTTGAAAATAGAAGAACTGGTGCCATCGTCGTCTTTCCTCCCAAGACCTTCCCTGAAATGACACCATATGTAAAGGAGGCAGTTCTCCAACTTGAAAAATATGTCACACTTTGATGCGTTTCTCTGTGAATCAAGTCGCCATGAGACACGCAGACATCTAACCGCTTCTAACGCCCTTCATCCCTCCAGTCGCCCCTGGCCACCCTCTTTCGGACGCTTCCCACGGCCTCCAACGCGATCAGCCGCCCCGTGCCGCTCAATTTAGCCACTCCAAGCTCCGCCGTTCGGACCTTTCGCCAGACCCATTCGTCCAATTCCACTCCTGGTTCAGCGACCCCTTACTACAAGCCGCAGTGCCCGAAACCGTGAATCTTTCCACAGCCTCGTTGCCGAGCGGCCGTGTGTCCAACCGCATCGTATACCTGAAGGAGCTCGATGCGCGCGGCTTCGTCATATATTCGAATTTCGGCACGTCCCGCAAGTCCAGAGACATCGCGACGAACAAGAACGTGAGTCTGTGTTTCTGGTGGAAGCCTGTGGAGAGGCAGGTGAGGGTCGAGGGCGTGGTGGAGAGGGTAAGTGCTGAGGAGAGTCAGCTGTATTTCGATACGAGGGCTAGGGGTTCGAGGATTGGGGCTTGGGCTAGCCAGCAAACAAGTGTCTTGGAGCCTCGATCATCAACAACAGCAACAACACAGCAGAAAGCAGACGGTGACCCTGAAGCCGAAGCCGAAGCCGAAGCCGAAGCCGGACAGAAGGTGGCTGAGGACGAGGCCGAGGACGACGGCCGAGCTGCCCTCGAAGCACGGGTCAGGGAAGTCGAGGCCCGGTTCGAAGGCCAGGAACACATCCCTGTCCCGCCGTTCTGGGGTGGATTGAGGATCATTCCCGAGACGATCGAGTTCTGGCAAGGGCGGGAAAGTAGACTCCACGACCGTTTCTTGTACACGCGTATAGGAGATCTTGGACAAGGTGGCGAGGCGAAATGGAAGATCGAGAGATTGAGCCCATGATGATGGTGACCTCGAGCCCGAGGAAGGATGGACGAAACGCAGTAGCAGCAGCATTGGACGGTTCCAAGTGCACAGCAAGAGGACACGAAACTGATCTTTATGGAGGTTACAACATAGAGAGTTGGATTCTTCACCAGCCCTCCTCCTACCAGCTCTTGCCGGTAGTCATCGTGTCAACTCCAGTCTGGAGGACTACATATAGGATCTAGACAAAACCTCGGCTATCTAGATCATCTATCGAAGAAGCGAGTAGAGATTATTCTTTGGTGTTCTGTTGTACATGGTCAGCCCCCTTTTTACCGTTTTCCCGGGGAAAAACCCGGCCCTGACTAGCTCCTCCCAGCGCCTCCCACCAGGAGGTAATCAGAGCTTGCTGAACATGTTCCTTATGCGCCAGCCACACAACACCATGTACAATGCTGTCGGTGAAAGGACAGACCAACCCCAAACGCCAAGATGCACAACTCCACCATGGATTCATGGCTCGTTTCCTCGGGTATCATTATCAATCAACAAAAGAAAAGGAGGAGCGTTCGAGGCAAGCGATCATCGCCACTCTCGACCGAAAGTTTTGGTGTCAGAATTTTAGGCCGTGTTACCACCCACTAATGCAAGCACTTTGTCAGCGACAGCTGCTGGATACCCTTTCTTCAACATTTCTTGCACCACTGCGTTAGCACTTGCACGATCTTCCGCTGAGAGGAAGGCTCGTGTCATGGCCTCATAAGTGCTGGGCTCACGCTTGTCCATGCCCAGTTGCTCATATATTGCTTGGGCTTTTGTAATCTGGCCCACTCCAGCCCACCCATGAATGAGCGTATTCGCGATGTAGGGGGTCATTGAGACCCCACGTCGATCCATATCGGTAAGAATCTCGGGAGTTTTCTCAACTTCGTGATTGGCGACCATTGATTCGAGCAGGTTCTGATACAACGTGTCGGTCGGACGGATATTTCCATCCTGCAAAACGGAATCGAAAATGGCCCGTGCAGCAGGCATGTCGTGCATAACGCAACCCTTGGCATGAATCAATGATCCATAGTGAACCGCCTCCGGTTGGACGCCACATTGCTTCATTTCAGAGAGGATAGATTCGGCTGCAGCGAGATTGACAGGCTCCAGAGATGCGTATGATTCAATCAGCAACTTGTAGGTGTGAGAGGTAGGTTTGATATTCTTGGACTTCATCCGCTCGTAGTACTGTAGAACCTTGCTGCGATCACGCTTTGTATTGAGGAAATATTGGATGATGGAATTGTAGGGTGCAGGTCGAGGGCGATAATTGGGTGCCGCCTCCATCTCGTCAAACATGTCAACGGCAAAGCGCTCTTCACTTGTTCGGCAAAGAGCGTTCACCAGAGTACCATATGTGACAGATGACGGCCGGATGCCGCGACCTTCCATATCTCCAAAGTAGCGGAGACAATCGTCAATACGTCGAGCTTTGCCGAGTTTGCCAATAACGGCATTGTAGAGGAAAACGCTTGGGACAACTCCTTCGGATAAAGCACGTTGGAAGATCTTGACAGCCTCGGTCGCTTCATCGAAAGTACCTTCAAGAGTGGTGATGTAAATGCCAAAGGTATTTGCAGAAGGCGCCGCTCCCATATCCAGAAGGTCTTGATGGAACTTGCTTGCCTGTTGGCGATCACCGACAGTCAAGCAAGCCGCAATCATAGAGTCCAAGATCGCAATCCAGCCTGCGCGGACAGATGGAATCTGCAATGACATTGGGACGTCGGCATGTGCCATACTCAGAATCTCTTGAATCAAGTTCGGTTGTTTGGCTTTACCAGCAGCGGTAATCAGCTTGGAGTAGGCAGAATAATGGAGATTTCTGCCTGCTCTACGAACATTTCTCAACCGAGAAAGGCCGTCATTGAGGTGGTTCTCGATTCGCCCAGTGGTGCTCTCAACCAGTTCGGATATCGCTTTAGAGGCACGGTAGTCGGTGGTGTGGGCATAGGGATCATAAGCATCGTTCGCTGACACGTCAAGGAGGGCGGGATGTGGTGACAAGGGCGATTGCGGCAATGCCACCGGAGTGGGAGAAGCAGGGTGAAGGAGCTCATGCCATCGTTGCAGGAGATCCGGTCGAGTAGCAGCAATTTTGGGTAAGCTTTCGCTCACCACGTGGACTGTTGATGGGTCCATAAGAATACCGCGGTGGAGCACAGTCTCGAGAAGATGGGAAAACCTGGCCGGATGGGCAGCGTCCACGACTTCGTGATACATAAGCATTTGAGCCTGAACATGAAGGGCCAAAGCAATATCTTGAGCATTGAGTTGGTGGACGCATTCTGGGCCCAAGCTTGCAATCGCATGCTGAGCGACCGGGGACACAAGGCCTCCATTTTCGATCATAGTTCGCAACAACGTGATGCTTGTTGTTGCAGAGACCACGGCCTGTTGCTTCGAAAGGGCTTCACCGAAAAGAATGATTGCTTCATCGATTTCTGCTACAGCGAGTTGACGGCTTGCTTCTGTGCTGGCCGAGGAGCGGATGCGTTGAAACATCGACCGAGCTTCAGCTACACCTTCTTCGATGGAACCGGACCTGATTAATGCCAATGCGTACATTGCTGCAAAGTCGGTGCTCGGAACAATTGGAAGAGATCGAGCGTTATTCCAAGTCGACTTGGCTTTGTTGATTTCACCACTCCGGAGATGCAAAGCAGTAATCGCCATGACGGGCTCGGCCTTCAAGTTCGTGGGACTGACGGCATCAAAGGATCGGACAGCTTCGTCTGCAACTGATGCATCAGCTGCAGCAGTGGAGATCCTTGACAGCGCCTCATCTCGTACGGCTGGCAACAGAGTGAAGTCATCGAGGCTT